GTTGTCCTCTGCCCTCTGTATACAGAGAGAGAGAGAGAGAGAGAGAGAGAGAGAGAGAGAGAGGACAGAAATACAGAGACAGAATCTAGCAATGTAAAAAAATTAGAGCTAGGTAGGTTTACCACCTTCAGAATCTGTCTTGTTTCTGTTATACCACATTAGAAGAACAATCCTTTGACTTAAACTTTGTCATATGCTTCAGAAATTTGATACTGGCAAATTAGTTATACTTAATAGCTTTAATCCTCAGAAGTCCTGGAAATAAATTAGTAACAGGAAGATGAGTGGCTGGTGATGTAGCTCATTTGGTAGAGTACTGGCTCAGCATGCACAAAACCCTAGGCTCAATCCCCAGAACCATATAAAGTAGGCATGGTGGCACATGCCTATAATCCCTGCGCTTGGGAAGTGTAGGCAGAAGGATCAGAAGTTCAAGGCCATCCTCAGCTAGAAAGCCAGTTTCAGGCCAGTCTATGATACATGAGACCCTGTCTCAAATAACGGTAGTAAAATAAATGAATAAATGCCTAAATAAATAAATAAATAAATAAATAATAAATAAGTAGATAGATAGATAGATAGATAGATAGATAGATAGATAGATAGATAGATAGATAATAGACTAGTGAAGTGATGCAGGTAAGGGAAGGGAACATGAGGGAATCAGGATGGGGATCTGGGGGCATGGACTATTAAAGACAAATTACAACGAGACATGGTGGTGCATGCCTTTAATCCCAGCACTCAGGAGGCAGAAGCAGGTGAATCTCTGTGAAATCGAGGCCAGCCTGGTCTACATAGTGAATTCCAGGTCAGTTGGGGCTACAGGGAGACCTGTCTAAAAAGCAATACAAAAAAATAAAAATAAAAAATATCAATAAACAGGGCCCAATCTGAATACCTGAGCAGGCACCAGATATCAGTATTTTCTTAACTTTAATTTTATTCGGCTTTCCCCAACACCCACAGTGTTGTTCTCATGCTCTGGTGCTTGGAATACAGCACATTCTGGATTCATGTTCATTGTTGTGAAAAGTGTTGCTGGCAGCAGCAGAGGATCCAGAGCAAAGGGAACCGTGCAATGCATTATTTTATTTTCTTTTTTGTCTTTTTTTTTTTGAGATGGGCTGTCCCGGAACTCGCTATGTAGCCCAGGCTGGCCTTGAACTCACAAGAGATCTGCCTGCCTCTGCTGTGATTAATGGCAGGTGCCACCACACCCGGCGGCTACAATGTTTTATCTTAAATTCCGATGCTGGTCTTTTTGTTTTGTTTTTGAGACAGGGTCTTATTGTGGCCTCAGCCTCCTGAGTACTGCAATTAAACGCATGCAGTACCGCGGCTCAAAATTTTCATTTCGTTTCCTTTTTTACTTAAGTTTTCTTTTCTCTTTTGAGACAGGGTCTTACTATGTAGTCCTGACTAGTCTGGAATTCCTTATGTAGACCAGGCTAGCCTCAAATTCAGATATCCACCCGCCTTTGCCTCCTGAGTTCTGGGATTAAAAGTTTGTGCCACCACCGCCGCATAACAACCTCATTTTGAACACTTTTCATACATACATCAACAACCAACCTAATCAGACACTCAAAATCCAGTTTCCTTGGTCACAAACGGACCACGCCCTCTATTTAAAAAAAGCTCGAGGACATCCCCAAACCATCTCAAATTTATCCTGCAAAGTTCTCTTCTAACCCAGCCCTCTACCAGTGGAGTTTAGGGCCTCTCACTGCGCTTGCGCCACTGTTGCCATAGCAACCCAGGACTCGGCGTTCTGCCTAGGGGAACCGCGGGGAGGAGAGTGCTGTGGGGTTTTGCTTGGTTATGACCACTTCCCTTACCGCTTCCCGCGCCTGGTGCGTGAGTTTGAGAGTCTGGTAAGAAAGCTCCATGACAGCTGAGTCCAGGGCGAGTAGACAGGAGCAGCCACCAGGCTGAGCAGCTGACTAAGGAGGCGTACGGAAGCCAGATGCGCAACCCAGCCCATCCCCTTCAGGATTGGCCAGAGCCCAGGTGCTCCAGCCAATCGCTGGCCACACACGGACTCCTCACCGAGTCAATCAAGGTTAAACTGACCGTTTGATCCAGAGCGGTTGCGCGGATGTGGATTAAAGATGACCAAGACGAGATGATTGGGAGAGCCCTGGGGGCGGGCTTTGCCATTGTTTTGGTTCTTGTAATTCGACTTGTAAAACGCGACTTACTCCAAATTATGCCCCGTATTTTTTGTTCTTGGTTTGGGAAGTTGGTTCAGGCTTTTATGACCCAATGACTGTATTTTGACACCCCTAAATTGGAAGAATCTATTAACACTGGTTGTCAGGGGCTTTCTGAAATATAAACTGTCCACTGAGTGGACATTAGGAGTCATCATTACGAGTGAACAAACATGAACTCTAGGTTTCCTTCCCTATATTTTCTTCATGTTAATTTATCTATGGAATCAGTGTCATTGTCCTCCCCGCCCCTTCATTCCTCCATTCCTCACTTCCTTTCTCCCCCCTACCGCCTTTTTTTTTTTTTTTTTTTTTTTTGGTCTTTTTGAGACAGGGTCTATATTGTGGTCCCAGCTGGCCTGGAACTCGCTATGTAGACCAGGCTGGCCTCGAACTCAGAGATCCGAGCCTTCCTCTGCCTCTCCCTCCCGGGCGCTGGGATTGAAGGCTTGAAGGCGTGTGCCACCATGCTGCCCACCCCCCCCCCCCCTTTTTTTTTTTTTTTTTGGCTTTCGACTGTTTGGCGACTGTGTCTCGTTCAACCGTAGCTGGCCTGGAACTTGCTATGTAGACCAGGCTGGCCTCGAACTCACAGAAATCCACCTGCTTCTGCCTCCCAGGTGCTGGAATTAGAGGCTTGTACCATGTTCTGCCTCCCTACCTTTCTTGCTGTGAATCCTGTTCCAAACCATCCCTTCATCGTGAATTTCTGCCTTTTTCATCTTTCTCTCCTTTTATATATAAACTATTCAAGTCTCTGAAATCTAAAAAATAAAAAGTCTTACTGTGTAATTGTTGAACTGAGCCACCTCTCATTCACTGCGAACATTCTGGAAGGACTAACAATTTATCTCCCATCCACTTCTCAATACATTCTACCCCTGTTCTTTTGAATTCCTTCCTATTTGGGAAATTCGATAACATTATTTTACACTCTTTTAAAAATAGTTTTTTATGTGTATGAGTGTAACGCCTGCATGTATGTAAGTGCACCCATGTTGTGCAGTGCTGGAGGAAGGAGGTCAAAAGAGGGTGTCAGATCCCCTGGAACTGGAGTTACAGACAGTTGTTAGCTGCCACGTGGGTGCTGGGAATTGAACCCAGGTCCTCTACAAGAGCAGTTGGTGCTCTTAACAGCTGAGCCATCTCTCCAGCCTCAATTTTTTACACTTTTTAAAAAATTTTTATTTTTAGTTTTGTGTATGTAGGGTGAGATATATGCATATGAACTCAGGTGCCCATAGAGGTCACAGGCAGTGGATCCTCTGGAACTGAAGTTACAGGTGGCTGTGAACCACCAGATGTAGGTGCTTTTGTTTTGAATGCTCAGTCCCCAACATGTTAGGACTATTTTGAAGGCTATAGAGGCTTTGGGAAGTGGGGCCTTGCTGGCAGAATAGGTCACCTTGAAGGCTGTACCCACCATCGCTGGTTCTGACCTGTGTGTTCAACACTTCCTGTCACTACCATATGATCATGTTGCTGCCTCACAACACCCAGGACCAGGTTCAAGGCCAACCTGGTCTACATAGTGAGTTCCAGACCAGCTGGGACTACAGGAAGACCCTGTCTCAAAAAAACCAAAAAAAAAAAAAAAAAACCCAAGAATCGCAAGGGGATGAAACAAGTCTCAAAGTTAGATAGTTGTTATAGTCTCTCAGGGCATAGTGGTGCATGCCTTTAATCCCAGCACTTGGGAAGCAGAGGTAGGAGGATCTCTGTGAATTCAAGGTCTACATAGTGAGTTCCGGGTCAGCTGGGGCTACCAGGAAACCCTGTCTCAAAAAAAAAAAAAAATTATATTCCCTTCTTTTATAAAACACTCATTAAAAATTTATACTTGTTTAAATATTGATGAATTGGTAATAAAATAACAAAGCCAGATACATGGTGGTATGCCTATAGTTCCATCTATTCAGGAGGCTGACACAAGAGGATTGCTTAAGCATAGTAGTTTAACACTAGCCTGGGCACCAACGCAAGACCCTGAAATTTTAAAAAATCAATATTTGAAATTTGGGGAGATAATGGACTCGTATCTGTAATCTGAGCACTTGGGAAGCTGAAGCAAGAGGACTGCTATGAGTCTGAGGCCAACCTGAGCTACACAGTGAGTCCAAAGCAATACAAAGTGAGATGGAACACTTTAGCTCAATGGAAGAGCTCAAGCTTACCATACCTGGGACCTTGGTTCAATCACCAGCTGTTGCACTAAATTTTCTTCCCTTTTCCCTTCTTGGGAGGCTCAAATGAGTGCCCTCTGAGGCTCCAGGACTCACAGACTAACATAAGAATTTTTAGTTTGGGTTTTGTACCATTTTATCACATTTGGGGGTGGACAGTGACTTACACAAAATGGCTTCCCATAACCCATGCGCCATTCAAGCCCACCTGTAGTCTCCATCAGCTTTCACATGCTGTGCTCACTGTCTTAAGTGTCCCATCTCGAATCCATACCCCAGAGGATACTGAAGTTTGCCCCTGCAGCCCCACACACGATTTTCTCCATTCCAATCTCACCTCTTTTAACTCTCCACAATTAACTCTGTCTCCATGGCAGCTCCACCCCTCTTCCCAGGGTGTTCCTCGTCTTGGCCCCTGGCTGGCTTACACTTTCCAGAGGAATGAGTAATTTGGGGGCTACACTAGTACCAAAAAAAGTTTTTAAAAAAATGCTATCGGATGTGAGCATTAATGGTGTTTCTCTCTCTGTCTCTTTCTCTTTTTAGGTGTCTTTGCAACCAGGTCTCACTATGTATCCCTGGCTGGCCTGAAACCTGTGGCAGTTCTCCTGCCTCAGCCTCCCAAATGCTGGGATTAAAGACATGCACAGCCATGCCTGGCTTTAATTGCTTTTCCTCATTGTGTCATTTGGTGTATATGGAACAGAACTGAAATTTACCACTTGTTTTACAAATCACATGAATTCACAAAGTATGGAAACACTGCATTCCAACCTCACTTTCAAAGGTCAGTCATTTTACTTGTTCTTTTGGATATAGCAAAGACTTATTAAAAGGTGATTTCTGATGTTTGTAAACTTTCATTTTGTTGGTTACTCTCTTCAAATCATAATTCATTCATCTCTATACCTTTCTCTCCCATACTACCTCCACAGAAGCCATTGGGAATTCTGTGCACACCATTCTGGTTATGTCAAACTGCATTCAGCAAAGCCTCCTGAGGAGGGGTATTTTCAAGAACGACAGGAAACGTTCCTGTCCAACTGGAAATCTTCTGACAGTCAACTTAAGTTACGTCTGAACATAAATTAGTAAAAACTGTCATTCTAAACTTCCAACTGTCAGTGGGAAGAAAGGATGTTTTAATCCTTCAGACTTGCTAAACTGGTGTATTTCTCTCTGCCAACAATTGTTGATATGTAAGAATGCAGAGCCTTTCTTCCAGACAGTAACCCAACATACTACTGGAAAAATGAACAGCAGACCCCAATTCTATCCAAAGGAATACTGACAATGGATTGCCGTAGATGAGGAACAGCTGACCCTCCTGGAACAGGGACCTCTGGCTGACTAGATTTACCAGAAGGGCAGACAGGGGGAATGGATGAGGGTGCT